CTCTGTGGCTGGGTCTCCAGCTCCAGTCACCTCTGGGGGCAGAGACTGCTGCTGGGACGTGACCACCACAGGCAGTCCAGGGAGAAGGTAGGGACAGGCAAAGCCTTGCTGAGAGCCCAGCCCCCAAGGCCCCTGGGCCGTCCCCGCCTCGCCAGCAGCCCCACCTAGTACCCACCGAGGCTGAAGAGCAGGAACAGGAGGCTGCCAAGGGCGGAGGTCCCACAGGACCCCAACAGGGGTCGAGCCGTTGGCAAGGCCATGGTCTGTCTCTGTAGAGGGCAGCGACTCAGGATGGGATCCCCTGTCCCCCACTCCCACCCCACGCCTCTGTCCCGGGCCAGCCTGGGGCCCCATGGGCCCCTCCTGGGCTCCCAGGGCAAACTTCTGTGGCACCTGCAGCTTGCATCCGTGCCCTGGCCTTGTCCTCCAGCCACCGAGCCCTCTGTCCCCCCGACTGACTCCTCGTGTCCAGGGCAGGGGCTGGGTCTGAGATCCCGGTCCCCAGCCCAGACAGCCCAGGCATCAGTTGGCGCTCACCCCTCTCCCGGAAGGGCAGGGCAGTGTAAGCAGAGCTTAGATCAAGCAGCTGGGGCCGCCGCCCGCTCGGGCTGGCCTGAGTCTTCCCACTCTCGCACAGGAGGATGAGCAGGTCCGGATGGGGTTGTATCCAGCGGCCCCCTCGCCTGGATGTGGCTCCCTGCCCTGCCCTCAGCTGCAGGTGCCTGGGCTTTGTGAACACCCCAGGCCCTGCCAGGTAGACAACACCCTTGGGGCAGGAGGGGCGCTGCGGGCACAAGGCCACCGCCTCTTCCTACCCACCAGCGTCTTGGGGCCACACGGCCTCTCTGAGCCCACTTTCAGGTGCAGCCCAGGTGGGCAGGGCTGGGCCAGTGAGCAGCCTGGGGATCCCCTTGTACTCGCTAGGGTGGGGCCCGGAGGCCTGTGGGCCAGTGTGGGGTGGGGAAGTGGGTGGGGAGACCTTCCCTGAACAACAATTGTCCTCCTGGGGTAGGGGTGGGGCCCGCAGGAGAGGGAACCAGCTTCTACACTCACCCCTTTCAGGGAGGCCACCATGGCTGGGTAAAATAGAGCTGCCTCCTGAAAACCTTGGCCCAGCCCTGGTGGGTCCACCCACAGCTCAGAAATGGGGTAACACACTCATGTTCAGCTGCCCCTGTCCACAGGTAGAGCCTGCCTGGTCAGCCCGGCCACTGGGGAAGGTCTCGGGAGCCACAGAGCCTCCCGGTGACGGACTCTACTCCCCCAGGCCCCAGAGGAAGTGGGGAGGCCCCTGAGGCTCTGAACACCTTGAGAAAGTGGAAGAAAAAAGACCTCCCCAGCCAGAAAGTGGGTAGTGGGTGGTGGGTGGTGGGTGGGACCCCCAGCCCTTGGGGTGCGTGAAGGCAGGCGGGAAATGTGGCCATGGGATCACAGCAGACCTGGGCAGTCCCCACCCCAGTTCCATGTGACCCAAGGACCTCAGCACCTGGGGTTCGGGCTCCCCGGGAGCCCGGCCCTTCCTGCTCTGAGGGGCCTCTGCAGGCCACGGCGGGCCCTGGAATCTGCATCCTTTACACCTGCAGGAGGGCTGGGCTGGGGACATGGAGGCACCTGCGCTGCCTTAGGACTGCCGCTTCCAAACAAATGGGTCTGCGTGTGCCCTGCGGGGTGAAATCTGCGTCCCGCTAAAGCCTGACCATCGCTCAGGTGCTGAAGCCCAGCCTGGAGCGGCCCCAGTTCTCCAGATGGAAGGTGCAGATTCCATCCACACCACAACAGAAAGAGCGCAAAGGCTGTTACTTACAGATCCCGGGGAGGCAGGCACCGTGGGTCCACCGGCAGCTCTCCGGCCGCGCGTCACAGCAGACGGGAGTGGCCGGCCAGGCAGAAAGAGGAGTGCGTGGCGCTGGCAGCGCCCACGGGGAACAGGACGGCCCCTTTCATGTCTCGGACCGATGCCCACACGTGCTCCTCCAAAGGGCGATGTGAAAGGAGGAGCCCAGCCCAGGCCTCCAAGGCCTTCTGGGGAGGCAGCTTTACCCCTAACGCCCAGGCAGCCCCCAGCCCTCCAGGTCCCAAGAGGCCCCTCCCAGGTCTCAGTGGGCCCTGCCCAGGGTAACTCTGACATGCAGGGTGATTGGCCACACCTGAGCCTCTGCCTCGGTTTCCTCAACTGGGAAGTGGGGGTGGAGAGCCTGGCAGCCTCCCGGGCTGTCAAAGGGAACAAATGATGGCTTTGCCCGGGGCGGCAGGGAGTGGCGGAGCCTCACGCCGCAGGAATGTGTGGGTGGAGACCCCGAGCAGGAGCCTTGGATGGGCAGCGGGCCAGGCTCGGCCACCTGGGGGAGGAGGGGTGCCCGGGAAGGCAAAGCTGCCCTCGGTGGGCGTGGGTGGGAGACCAGGCTCAGGTTTCAC